GTTTACGGCCGCGACCCATTCCTCAGGGTCCAGCTCCGTGGCGTTCAGCACATTCACACGGTGGAGTAACCGTCACCACATCCATCTTCAACACGGTTCTCGTCTCTACAGCCCCTGTCCTCCCTCCACACACCCCCGTCCCTCCTGCCCCAGCCCCGGCCGCCGCCATCCCCCTTCCTGTCCCCGGGGCCTCTGCTGCCTCCGCGGCAGCGCTAAGGACCCCTCGGGGTCCCGGACTGCAAGAGGCACCGAATGCCGTGCACCGGGCCTCTGGTGTCACCATAACACACAGTCCAGCCCCTGGCCGCCATCCGTCCTCAGCAAAGGTGGGTAGAGGTGGGTTTTGTCCTGTTTGTGCAGACGTGTGTCTCTATGAAAACAAGGTGGTAGGGAAAGGATGGCAGCAAGGAAGCCGGAGAACGTGCTCGTTTCCTTCGCCATTGTCTTTGCCGAGGGGTGATTCTGTCCCCGCAGCGCGGAGGTTGGTCCCCGTCTCATCGCCGCGTGTCCGGAGCGTGACAAACCGTTCTCGGCGCACGGTCCTCTGTGCTCCTGCAGATCGCCCTCGGCTGTGACAGCTGGGATTGGATTCCTCTTCCTACCCCTCTGGCCACTGAGAAGATCAATGAGACATCGGTCTCCGTGCCTGTGCCTCAGACTGTCTCTGGAGAAGGGGGGCGGGCAGGGGATGCTGAGGGTCCAGGATGAATGAGCAGTTGATTCACTAGTGTCTACAGGCAGGAGGCCTGGTCACCCTGCTGCTGGGAGGGCAGAGGAGATGGCAGCCCTTGGCCATTTCACGGGGCCGACTCCCAGGCCCGTGCTGCCAACCTGGGTGAGAGGCCACTGAAGCAGGGCTGGCTCATCTGGGACCTGTGCCCTGGAGACTGGCTCGCCTGGGTCTGGAAAGGCCCAAGACCATGGACACTTTCAGGTTCTGTGACCTTGCCAAGAGAGTTGACCTCTCCAGACCTCATACTGCATCCACCATGTGGGACAGAGATCCCTCAAAGGATGACTGTGAGAGTCAATTGAGCTGATTTGGCCCAGCAGGCATGGCTCAGTGGTGGAGCCATGACCTATGAACCAGGAGGTCACTGTTTGATTCCTGGTCAGGGCACCTGCCTGGATTGCAGGCTCAATTCCCAGTAGGGGGCAGGAGTCAATAATTCTCTCTCATCGTTGATGTTTCTCTCTCTCTCCCTCTCTCCCTTCCTCTCAGAATTTTTTTTTTTAAATGAGCCCAGTAGGGGGCCTGCAGGAGGCAGCCAATCAGTGATTCTCTCTCATCATGGATGTTTCTCTCTCTCTCCCTTCCTCTCTGAAATCAATAGAAACATCTTTTTTAAAAATAATAAAATGAAAAGAGGGTAACTCAGTGTTGAAGTAGACGCGCTCTTGAAGCTCCACATGCTTCCATGAAAGACCGAGGCAGCCGTGGGGAGGCCGGGCAGGGGCAGCAGCTGTGAGGGACCAGCGACACCCTGCCACACTCACAGCTGGTGAAGGAGCAGAGATGTTGGGCTGTCCCAACGCTTCCCCGGGACAATGGCAGAGATTGCTGACAGTGGGAGGCATTGTCACTGCACAAGTGTCTTCTCTGAAGCCCCCAGGGCTGAGGGGGCAGCGGAGCACAGGGCGCAGCAAGCACCTCCGGGCGCAGGCCTGCCTCACCCACACAAGCTAATGCAGGAAATCCCTCTGCCTGCACTTCAAGCACTTATTTGATTTGCATAATTCCGAGGCCAATACATCTCCGCATTAAGGCTGATGTGGCCTGGGATGCAGACAGCCTAATTAAGAATGAGGCATTGGATCGGCTCCTCTAAATGTTCTTTTCTCTGGTCTATGATTTTCTAGGCCGGGTTGATCTTTTTTTTATTATTATTATTCATAAGGGCTTCGTTCTGATTTGTCAAGGCTGCATCAACTGGGCAGCTAATGTTGACGCAGACATGGAAATCTGATCGCATTTGTCCTCGGCAGCAAAGTGAACGAAGCAGCAGGAAAAGGGCCTCTCGCGCCCGGACCTCTCCAGCCAGTCGAGTCGCTTCAGATACACTTGGCTTCTGTCCCCCAGAACCGGGCTTGGCTGTGAACTCGGGGACAGAGCCAACCTCACTGCCATCGACTGACAGCCCAGCTCCCGGCGTGGAGAGGCCCGGGTCAGAGAGGCCAGGGGTGTATCCTCCCTCCTTCCCTCCCTCTCCGCACTCTCAGTGAGCACCTCACAGGCCAGACTCCTGGGTGTAAGACAGACTCAGTCACAGTCAAATGGATCATGCCACCCACCACTGCCGGCCGATGCAAGAAACATAGCTTAGCCAAGGATCAAGGTTGGGAGCACGCTGGAAAGATGATCTGCTCTATTCTCTTGATCTGCTCTATTCTCTTGCCCCTGGGAGGGTTTTCTGTTGCATAAGCGTTGCCAAAGGCTGGGGGCATCACAGACAGTGACTCTGACTGGTAGGATTTATTAATATTCGTGTATATATTGGCTTCTCGGGGCTGTCATAACAACATACCATAACCTGAGTGGCTGAAACAACAGAACTGTATTGCCTCACAGTTCCGGAGGCGGGAGGTCCACAATGACGGTGTTGGCAGGGCGGGTTCCTTCCGTGGCTGTCAGGGCCTCTCTCCTTGGCTTGTAGGTGACCGGCTTCGTCCTCTGTTTTTTGGTTTTTGTTTTTTTTGGAGGAGGAGAGGAAGAAGAAGAGAAAGGTGGTTCAAGTTTGGTATTTAAAGGCTCTTTACCTTGCACAGAGGCCACTCCCAAAAGACCCACCAAGATTCTTCAGTAAGCTGAAACCGGTTTGGCTCAGTGGATAGAACATTAGCCTGCGGACTGAAAGGTCCTGGGTTTGATTCCGGTCAAGGGCATGTACATTGGTTGCAGGTATATCCCCGGTAGGGGGTGTGCAAGAGGCAGCTGGTCAATGTTTCTCTCTCATCAGTGTTTCTAGCTCTCTATCCCTCTCTCTTCCTCTCTGTAAAAAATCAATAAAAAATATATATAAAAACAAGACAAAGATATATATATATATATATTTTTAAAGATTCTTCAGTAAATATGGGCTGGACTCCTACTGTGTCCCCCAATGCTCACATGAGGAAAGGGAGAAAATGCTCTTCCTTCTCTTTGAAAAGAAAACATAAAAAATTACAGTGCAGTACCCTGGCCGGTGGGGCTCAGGGTTTGGGCGCCATCACGTGCACTGGAAGCTTGCAGGTTCTATTCCCAGTCAGGGCAAATACCCAGGTTTTGGGCTTGATTCTGGGTGTGGGGGCGCGGGGGGAGGCGGGGGAGTACAGGAGGCAGCCAATCGAGAGTTCACACTCCTATTGTTGTTTCTCTTTCTCCTTCTCCCTTCCTCTCTCCCTAAAAATCAATTTAAAAATATTTTTTAAAAAATTACAATGCAATGAGGTAAGTACTCCAACATGGGCATCATGGGACTTTCCTTAATGCCAGAGTTATCAGCACTCAAAATTGAGACTCAAGAATCATCAAATAGCCCTAGCTGGTTTTGCTCAGTGGTTAGAGCATCGGCCTGCAGACTGAAGGGTCCCAGGCTTGATTCTGGTCAAGAGCACACGCTCAGGTTGCAGGCTCAATCCCCAATAGGGGGTGTGCAGGAGGCATCCAATTCATGATTCTTTCTCATCATTGATGTTTCTCTCTCCCTCTCCTTTCTTCTCTGAAATAAAAAATATATATCTTAAAAACATAAAATCAAATCATAAAAGTGACTCACATGTTTTTATTGGACATCACTGCCCTGGAGATTAAAAAGCCAGTTGGGAAGCACTAGCCCAGCAAAGCGTTACCTGAGACCACAAGGGGGCAGCACTGCAGCGCTGAGCTGCCTGGGGCGGGAGGTTAGCGGGAACAGTCTGCCTCCTAACATTTATTCTAATGTTTTTAAGGCTATTTTAAATTGCTTTTTCTAATGTTTGAATGGCCCGTATTCTGTTTCCCCCGCGTTAAATAATAAAAATAAGAAGCATAAAAGTTCCAAACTCCTGAATTACAATATCCAAGCCTGGAATGTTAAGGAAGCTGCACGTTTCACTATCACAGCTAGGGAAGAACCACAGGCACAAACTATAAGTGACTCAACTGCACCTTAAGGGGCTGGTGAAATGAATTCAGGTACAGCTATAAGATGGAATATTTTTTAAGTATTACAAAGGATGTAAATAGATTATTACTAATCACGGAAAAACATTTATGCAAAATTCATTGGGGAAAAAAAAATCCCAGCTACAGAATTGTATGCTCCATGTGTATGTCAATTGTAAAATGGAAAAGAAAAAAAAAACATTAAAAGCATTCATTGGCAGAGGATGGGCTGGAAGGACATGTCCAAGACATTAACAATCATCTCTGCACAGTCTACGGGTGGCCTTCCTTCCTTATTTTTGCAACTGCCTTAAATTTAATTTTTACAGTTATTTTTAAGTTGTCCTGCCCATTCTTCTTTTTCTAATGCCACCGTCTCTCCCAATCTGTCCTGAGCCTTTGCTAAAGAAAGAACCGGTGTCTTCGTTAAAATCCTGGCACGTCCCAGCACCCAGCTGGGGTTTGCACCTTGTCACACCTCGTCCTCCTCTAGCCCGTGTGCATGTGGCCTCCCCTCCAGGCCAGGGGAGCTCTGCACGGGGTCCTGACCCTCTGACCTTCTGCCTGGACCTGACCGCCACGTTATGGTCAAACGAACCAAACTCCCATGGCTCCATCCCTGACACAAAGTGTCCGACGCCCCGAGGACAGGCGAAGGACCTCTCTCCTGCTTCCGAAGCACCTGTCACCGCTGGGGCGTCAGCAGCTGGGGCGGAGCGAACGCTCCCGGGACACAACGCGGAGGCGCCGGCGCGAAGATTGTCCCTTCGGAGACGCCGTCCGGGCCGCCCGCGTCACGTGACCCGGGAGCCTGCTGGAGGCGGAAGCGGCGCGCTGCGGGGCTCGGGTCCGGGTGGACGGCCGGGCCGGCGGGATGGAGGCGACTTTGGAGCAGCACTTGGAGGACACGTGAGTGGCGCGGGCCCTTGATCGGGACGGACTGCGCGAGCCGCGAGGGCCGGCCGCGTGGCTCGGGGACGCCGCGCGACCCCCGGGCGCGGGTCCGGCGGGGAGCTGGCCCCGGGCCCGCGGGCGGCCAGCGGCCCGGAATCAGAGTTCCCGCCCGCGGGGCCCCGCGGCCCGAGCCCTGAACCGCCCCCGGCCCTGCCGAGATTGTCTCTGGACAGGGGCCGCCTCTTCGGGTTTCAGGAGCTGCGTTCATTTGGGGGAAGGACGTGCCGCCGTGTGGACCGGTCCTGCAGTGTAAACACACACCCCCCCCTCCTTCGTGGGTAACCGGTCACTTGGTGATTAAAAGGAAAGTCATCCCTTCAGTTTAGTGGACGGAGACGCACCTCCTCCGCCCCGATGCCCCTCAGCTTCCCAGTTCCCCGCGGTCCCCACCACCACCACCACCACCAGGAGGCGCCCGTGTTACTTGTCAGCAGTTTTAAGTTAGAACACTAAAGCACTCCTTAACGAGGGACACAGAACCCTACTTTAATGTCTGTGGCCTTCCTAAGCTCCTGGGCACAATCTTTTCTGTCATCAGAGAAACTCATCTATTTTTTTTTTCTCTTTGGGGGGGGTGGTGATTAAAAGAAAGTTGATAAAACACTAATTTAAAGCACTTGCAACAATGCCTGCCTGGTACGAGTAATGCCTGTGTGTGTTCTTGTAATGTTTTAAGTTCCTTTTCTCACATCATCTGTTCCTGGAAATAGAATGAAGAATCCATCCATTGTTGGAGTCCTGTGCACAGATTCACAAGGACTTAACCTGGGCTGTAAGTACCTCCCACAATCCTGAGGTGGGTTGCACAGCATTTGAAGTTGACTGGGAGTCATTGTGCTGTTACCCTGCCACTTTCTAGCTACTTCTGTAGGCAGAGATTATCTCCCAATAAGGAGATTAGAGGATTGGCTTTTTCACTTGGCATTTACGAAGGTAGAAATGTTCCTTGCACTACAGTTATTTCTACTGAAATGATATTTGCCCCATTTTAAAAAGTAGATTGAAGAAAGCCTTCAGTTAACATTGAATGTGTGCCGACTGCTTGGACTGCGAGGCTTCATATACAGATTATCTAATTTTCACATTATTCCTGCAAGATGCTATTTTTCAGTCTACACTTAGCAGTGAGACAATAAAAATGAGGCTTCAGAGTCAGACACACCTGGGTTCTACTGCCTGCTCTTCTGTTTGCTGGGACCAAAAAGAACCTCTCTGAGCCTGTTTCTTTACTGGGTTGTTTAATTATTATTATTGAATTACGTTTATTGAGTTTTTACTGTGTGCCAGGCACCATTCTAAGTGTTCTACATGTACAATTCTACATGTTCTAAGTCATTTAGTTCTCAAAATAAAGTGGTAGCCCTGGCCAGTGTGGCTCAGTTGGTGGGAACGTTGTCCTGCACACTGAAGGTTGGAGGTTTGATCCCCAGTCGGAGAGCTGTGGGAGGCAACCAATCAATGTTTCTCATATCGATGTTTCTCATCCTTCCTCTCCTTCCAGAATCAATAAAAACATATCCTCGGGTGAGTATTAAAGAATTAAGTGGTCTAGCTGGGATTTGAGTCTGGCTCCAAAGTCTCAGTATAACAGTATTATGTTATGTGTAAAACACAATACATAACCCAGACATAATGCTCAATAAATGGTAACAATTACAGATGAAGAAATAAGTAACTAAGACATTTGGCTGATGAACATCAGAAGCAATAAGCCCAGGACTCTTTAGTGTGGGGCTTTTTAAAGCTCTGAGCTTTTGCTGGGAAGTTATACACACAGTGAATTGGAAGGAAAAAGGCCAAGAGGATGGGGACATTTACCAGACTCACTAATGAAAATTGAAGGAAATATAAAACTAAATTAGTTCCTAATTCTTCAAGGCCCTCAAGACTGCACTCTCGGTGCAGTTCATGTTCTATATAACCGTCAGCCCACCAGCTCTGTGGCAGCAGCATGTCTGGTACCTGAGTTAGCAGATAGGCTTGGATTTCCCTTACACATACAAACATATTGTAAACTTAGTAATCACTTTTTTGCCTGCCACTCAAGATGTTATTATCTACAGGCGAAAACAAAAGCCTATTCTGTTGGTATTGGCAAACAGCCAGCTTGTTCTAACGGGGTGAACTGCGCACAGAATGTCCACATATGCTGTCAAGGTGGACGTACAGCTGAGCTCCCGGAAAAACGTGTGTAACCTTTGAGGCAGAGCTCAGGGAAGGAAATTGGATTTCCTACGAGGAATACGTTTCAACAGGTCTCTTGTCCTTCCTGCCGTGTGTCTATCTCACCTCCGAATGCCTTGTTGCTTTCAGCAAGGTTCCTGGGGAATGGATTTATGACTTTCAGAGCGACTTGAAATTACAGCTTCCTTGTATGCTTGGGATGGTGTTTAAAGATGGTGATGGGAATGACTTTGAAAACTGAGTGTCTGTTAGGCTTTATTGATTCAGGAGCTGGTGTGTGGTGTTCTCACGGAGGCACCCAGCTGAGTACAGCAGAGCAAAACCATTTCATGTCAGTAACTAACCTAAGAGACCAGGAACTGAACTCTCATGAATAATTCATGGGGTAGCACTACAGCTCTCCGCTCCTTTTTAAGACGGTGGGGCTACATAATATCATGTCTTCCAGGCCGTGGGACCCTGTCGGACGAGCACGCCGGGGTGATATCTGTTCTAGCCCAGCAGGCGGCAAAGCTGACCTCAGACCCCACCGATACCCCTGTGGTGTGTCTAGAGTCAGACAATGGGTGAGTCGAAGACAGCAGTCTCTTCCTTTCCTTTTTATTTAGAAAGATTTAGGGGAGGGACTGGGCCCTGTGTTCTTGGTGGTTCTTCATTCAAAGGGCTTTAAGGGGGTTCTTCGCAGAGACTGACCTCAAGCTGACGGGCTTTCTGACCTCAGTGGCACTTAAAAGAGGAAGCATTGTCATGAACTGTCAGTCAGGAAAAAGAAAGTAGGGGAAGGCCAATCAAAGACCGGAAACTGCTTCTGTAATAACAGAAGTAGTAAAGATCTTCCAAGGAGTGTCTTCAGAATAACGGACACAAGCAGAGGACAAACTACAGTATCTTCACAGCTTGTTAGAGAGAATGTGTCACAGGATACCTGCACATAAAACCTGGAAATAGTAACTGTTTGTCCTAGTGCCAGGGGGATCGGAGTCATTTCATTTTTATAGTTAATACTTTTCTGTATTACCCAAGTGTTCTGTTGTGTTCATATATTGCTTATAAAATGTGTTTTCATTGTGTCCTAAACCATTACCGTCACTGCCTGTACGTGGAACGTGTTACTGAAGGTCTTCCGCTTTGCCTTCCAGGAACATTATGATCCAGAAACACGACGGCATCACAGTGGCCGTGCACAAGATGGCCTCCTGACAGCACCCAGGCTCTCCGGCAGCGTCTGCTCCTCGCCGTACACTGTTAGTTCAGTGGTTAGGCCTGTCATCCAGCGTGCTGTGGGCACTTCTGTATTAATTTAGGCTAAGTTGCTTCTGGACACTCTGTGGACTGACTTCCCAAAATATTAGTCAGAAAGGACCTTGCTTTGCAGCAGCAGGTCTCGGTGACTGTGTATAGAATTGTTGTGTTCAATAAATCCGGTTGGAGGAAAGCTTAGATCTTGTCTGGATTCTTTAAACTCATCCGCCTATGGCCATACCACCCTGGACACGCCGACCCGTCCTAACTCTTACCAGATGTTCATTTTTTCAATTGCCAAACTGGAAATTGTTTCCAAGGTCTTTGTTCCAAATTATTCTCTTCTCTTTCAGAAGTTCCCTCAAATACATATATCCCACAGAAGTATCCACGGGTATTAAAACAAATCAAGCATATTCCTACCCCGTAATAAAAATACAATGGCTAGTATCATTAAGCACTTACTAGTACTATATGCCAGGAACTCATTTAATTCTCATTTACTGGAAAGTAGGGATATTGTGTCTAGTCTTCACCACATACTCAGTGGTGTGAGGGTAATAGTGACTTAGCAGATACCACACTGCAATTCATTCGCCTCTGAAAGCCGTGCCAGGGGTTCATCTCGGGCCTCTGCAGCCCACCCAGCCTGCCACTGCAGTCACACTGCAGATGGGCCCGGCCTCGCCTCCATCAGCCTGACCTCGTCTCATCCTGCGATCGGAATCACAGGTCGCCCTGCTAAGAAAGACAGCTCCCACCAAAAACCAGTCCTGTAGATGTTCACTGGACGACGCTTTCCGGGTGTTTATAAGGACAAACACTGAATAGGACTCACCTTCTCTCTGAGGGGTTGCCCTCTGCTGGAGGTCTGTTTGGTCCCTGGCACCAGCATCACGTAACTATTATCCTATAGCTCTTCATAAGGCGTTTCCCAAACCACTTCACTGGGATCCTGTACACGTTCATCTCAAAGTGTTAGTTTGGTTTTTAAGAGCCTGAGAAGCCACTTCCTTTTTAAAAAGGAACGTGAATAAAAATGGGCAGATTTTCCAGCTAAAACAAGAAAAACACACATTGGCCTAACATACATTCTGGTTTGAAACCTGGGATGTTGGGGAGATGAAAGGCCATTTCCTGTTGACTGGGTGTTGTTTTTTGTTTTTGTTTGAGGTGGAGGGTAGCACAGAAAGGAAACAGAATAAGAAAGCTGGATCACCCCAGTAATTTTCTAGGAGATTCAGCCTTAACCATTTCCAAAATGCAAGAAGAAAAACGTTTCATTAAAATTCAAGTATACACCTTCTCTGGAAGGTGGTGGTAAGGTAATCAAGTATGAAAAACAGCCATTAAAATGGCGTCTGGAACCCCACGTTACTGCCCAGATTCAGTCAGTACATGTAAGGTCACATGTATGTGCTGCACTTGGGAGCATTGCCGTTTGTAGCCCAGGAAATGGACCTCCCAACCCTGGGAGAGGGGGTGTCTTCCCGAGGACCCCGGAAAGAATGGCAGGGGCATGGCTCTCTGAGCTCTGGGGTCTTTCTCTGCCTTGAGCATGGCGTTAAACGGGAAGCTGAGGCATATTAAAACCGAATTTGAGCAAAAATCCATTTGAATCAGGCAGCACCAAACCCGAAGTAGGCAGGAGTGCTCCACCAGCAGCCTGGGGAGAGGCTAGTAGAGAAAAGGCAAACACAAAGCAGGGAAACCACTATCACGCAAGGCCTGAGGGGCTGTGGGTGGTGGTTGGCTTGGGTTTTCATCTCTTCACCCTGAGGCGTCTTCAGGCCTGGACTTGGGTTTGCTTACGCAGCCACCGCAGCAGCACAACCACCTCCGCACTGACCTTGTTTTAACTAATTCCGTGTCAGTGACCAAGAGGACTTTCTACTTGGTTTACCCGGATGCTTGCTGCTGCGCCTACGGTGAAACTACCTTCAGAGCCAGCAGGGGGGTGTCAAACCAGCCTGCCTCCGCTCCTCAGGAGGGTGAAGTCCATTGGCCCGGGGCCCACATCGGCCCTGCGGTCCTCTCTCACCAGCTCACTTGTTCTCACAGCACAACATGACGAACTCCTTGGAGTAATATTCCAGAAAACGAGTTTATTTCTCTTCCCGGAGTGTGTCACCTGTGGAGGATTCCTTTGCTGCACGCCACGTCCAAGGTAAGACGAGAATAGGATTGTGCTTTGGGGTTGGTTTCCTATAATGTTCTGAATGACCCACGGGCTTCTCTCCCAGCCCAGCTGCTCACCACACGGCCACTGCGCATGCCCGTCCCCGTAAGGAACGGTCTGCCTGCTGACCGGACAGTGGGAAGTGAAGCATGCTGGATCCCTTCCAGGACACCTCCATTCTTGTCCATGCTATTTGCCTTCTACCTTTTGGGAGGAGGTAGCAGTTAGGACACTTCACTCCTGATGCCATGCAGCACGCTCTCCTGCAGAACCACAAGACCATCACACCACGAGGCCTGGCTGTGCTCACAGCCCACATTCCCACTCCTCCAGCTGACTCCACAGCTCTTCCCCGTTCCTGGCCAAGGTCCCCTCAAGGAACAGTCACTGCATTTCGTTGTCACGGCTCCTTAGCCAGGGGTGGGGGACACCAGGTCCTGCCAGGGCATCAGGGGTGGGTTTTACCAAATACAGCAGGCTCATTTTTAAGCTGGTATTTTTATACGACCTACGAATGATGTTATAAATATCCCAATGGCTCACAGCGGTTTTAAAAAGGTTCCCCACCCTGATTAGCCCCTTAGAATAGTCTCATTTTAGCGAGGGCTTTGTAAACAGGATTCCTAGCCCGCAGCAACCCGCCCTTTTTAAAAATTCCTCTCAAGTCGGAAGCTCACCCAGGGGACCAGAGGACGGCGCACAGCTCCCCCAGGATCTGGGGTGCAGACTGGGGGGGAGACACCGAGGACAGTGCTAGGAGCCGCCTCCCCAACCAGTAAGTCGAGCTTTGCAGTGAACTCCTTCGAAATTCCTGCCTGAAATAAACCGAGTGGTCATCTCAGTGCCATTCAGACTGGTGACAAGACATCTCTCTGCAGTGGCTTCAAAATCCCTCAAATCACTAGCTTTCTTCCTTCTCCCATGATTCTGCCTGGATCAAGACTATAGAAAAACAAGGACCGGGGCGATAAAGTCAGGCAGCCTTTACACGTGACTACGACACGCTTCAGGGGCTCCAAGCCCTGTGAGCGGCCAGCGGCAGCAGGAAGCAGCCGGCAGGCCAGTCCCAAATTGTACAAAGTCCTGCTTGCATTTTGGAGGTGAAAACAGGTCTATGAACAGCTTTAGAAACAAAAGGAAATCATCCGTGTTTAAAGAGTTGGGCTAGAAAACATGTACAAGTGGTTTACTCCGCAGAGAGAAGTTAAGTTTAAAAGCTTAGACGTTTCCTGTCAGTGGAATAAACCATGTCTTGGGTTTGTCCCAGGGACCGGCGCCATGCGGAGGGCGGGGAAGGCCCAACCCTACACCCAGGCCCCGGATGGAGGTTGGGGATGGATGATTGTGCTTCACTTCTTCCTGGTAAGGATTTCCTTTCCCTCCTCCCGCCTGAAGGGCTGCCTCTGGAGGCCGAAGGTCCCTTATGAAACCCTTGGCATCCGAATGGAAAGGGCGCAGAGCCGGGCCAGAAACTGCCAGTGGTTGCTCAAGTCAGAGGCCCACAATGAGCCCAGGCTGAAACCATCCACCTTGAGCAAAAGCAAAAGCATTCTATCTGGCCTCTCCTCCTCCTCCTCCCTCCCGTCCCTGCACCTCAGAACGCTCCAGTCACCATCAACAGCCCTGCCCTGGCTGCACAACAGTTAGTTTTGGGGACAATCACACAATTAACCCCCAGAAGTAGCACTGGCAGGGGCCAAAGTGTTTTTGGGCGGGATCCGCACTCAGCCCAGTGTAGACATAACTGCTGGGACATCCATCACTCCCAGGGGACGGGGACATTTCCTCCCCTGCCAGCTGCTGACCTCCAGCCCTTCCCACCACCCACACGTGAGCTAGAATCAGGCCCGTGTGTATTCTGCCTGGAGAGGGATTCTGAACCTGGAGCCCGTTTTTTCTCCTTCACCCATCTGGGACACTTGTTTCTTAATGATCTCTCTCCCTCACCCTGATCTGAGCGTCAGCACAGCCATTCTAGAATACCGGTGCATCCTCTCACAGCTAAGCCCCAAACACTCCGGCAGATGGCACTAGCTCCACAGCTGCTCCTGTCCCCAGACCAGTTTGCTCACAGACACCCCTTCCCTCCCGACCCTCCTTCCTCCCACAGCCTCCTGCCCGGTGGGAGAGAAGGGGAAGTAAGAGCAGAGGTCCCAGCTAGGACTTGTGTAACACAAACTCCCCAACAGACCACCACTGGTGACACATGGGCCTCGTTGCCACAGAACGTGGGCTCTGTGTTACTAGAAATCACGCTAAGGTCTGGGAGCCCTTCCTGTGGCCGCACCCCTCAGGGAAGCAGAAACGTCCAGGAGCAAGTGAGGAGCAGAAGTTGCTGAGAAGTCAGATGCCACAGAAATGACAACAGGCTGCCGGTGCAGTAACTGGGAAGTGTGTGATAACCCCGATAAGAGCCGGTACGGTGGGTGCTGAGACAGGAAGTGCAGATAACCCAACAGACTCTCCTTTCTTTGGTCTGTGAAGGTCAGAAAGAGCAAGGGGGTGCGAGAGGGAACTAAGGAGAGGAAACTTGCTATTAAACAGTAATTTCTAACAAAGCTGGATGCTCTTTATTCAAAGGGGCCACAGTGGCTGAACCGACCCCAAGACAATATTGTATAATAATTAAAAGGATCTAGATGAGGAAGTTCTTATGGGGTAGGGGCGTGCCCTTAAAGATAAAAAGGAAATGTCGGTGCTGGGTCAGCCTCGGGAAAATTTCAAAGGCTTTTGTTTTGGGGTGAGCCCACTTGACAATGTTTGACTTAACGACTGTTTA